TAAATAAATGCCTTGGGGCTACTGTTCTATAGAAGGAACATAGAAATTATCTAGGGACAGTACTTCTTACATAAGTATTTTGAGAAATCTAGGTAAATGTTGGTAATCTAAGTTAAAATAGTGCTGAAACCCAGCTGTTTGGGGTCAGAAATGAGAATCTGCTGTTTTTAAAAGAAAATATTTGGGTTTTAGTCAACAAATCACATTTCTTTACATAAAGCATTTTTTATTACTAGAGCAAGTTGACATTCATTGTTAGCTGCAATGCATGTTCATTCACATGACTTCGTTTGGGAGTCTGGGCTTAGGAGAGATGGGAAGAGGAGTGTCCCTTGCCCATTTAAGTGGTAGAGATCTCTAAACAAGGAAGGGAAATGGCTCCTTGCTTCACAATGTACTTTTACAATGTCCATGCCAACTTTCCAGGCCCCCTTTCTACCAGATACTCATTATTGGGCCAGGTTTTCAACTTCAGACATGCTGTCTTTTTATCACATGTGGGTTGTAGCCCACGAAAGCTTATGCTCTAATAAATTTGTTAGTCTCTAAGGTGCCACAAGTACTCCTGTTCTTTTTGGGAGAAAGGTGGTGTCTCTTTTTTCCCCTAGGTTTAGCCCTAAAATTATTGACCTAACAGTTGTCCTTAAATGGCTTTTGTGTAGTCATCTGGGATTGCTCCCCTCTCTCCAATGTTTTCCATTTATTCTTGCCATTTAGATGACCTTTCCTTTAGTAAGGAGGAGTGAACACAGCTGCTTATTGACCTAGGCAGTGCCACTGTGTGCAAGTTGTTCCTTCCCAACAAAAGAGGGAATATTCTACTTGGCAGCCTTTTGGGATGCCAGTTGATGGCCAGATGTATCAAATTGTCAAGGTTAAACATTACAGCAGTCTACATCACTATAACCTGACTGAATGACACCCTTTTTTGACTTAGTGTGGGGTTTTTTAAAAAGCCTGAATTAGAAGCACAAGTCCCATGGAAAGTCAGTGTAACTTGTGCTCCTCAGGCACTTTTAAAAATCCCACCATTTATGGCCAACTTAGTTGGTTGCGGCTTAATGTTGTCCACCAAGGCCACATGGGAAAAAAAAAGTTGAAAATAATTATTTTATGATGATAAAAGTTCAATTCATGCCCTGTATTCCATAATCTCAAGTGCTGTGGATACAATTCTCCAGCCTTTCTCAAGAGATCAAGAAAGTGAGTCTGTTGAATCAGAGGAAAAATATCCACCTAAAAATGGATGTTGTGCAGTGATGTTTGTAACTTAGTTTTCTTTTTCTCTGAGCCACTTTATCTTCCTTAGGGAACATAGAATCATAACAATTTAGGATGGCAAGGACTTAGCAGATGAGAATCTATCTCATGACCCTTCAAAGGTTATGGATGTACTTTCCCAATAGAATCTTTTCAGAGGTTAACCTGATTATAGTTGTTGTAAAAAGGTAGAGAATGATGTACTTCGTCATTATTAGCCCCAAATATAAACAACTTGCTTTAAACTAAACTCTATGACATAAGAAAACATGGTACAAAGAAATGGGTTACATTTTTACCTCTTTTCTGTTTGTGTTTGCATATTATATCCAATACAGCTTAAACATGAAAGAAGCTTTAATTTTTTTACTGTAGATTTTTGTGTGAAAGGGGACTTGTGACTAGAGCATGACTGTGAAACTGCAAAGTGATCAAGATCTAAGCTTTTTAATATAAGCACCAGCCAGGGAAATGTTAAGATTCCTCTCAGGAATGGTCTAGTTATTAGATAGTCCTGCCTTGAGTGCAGGGGACTGGGCTAGATGACCTCTTGAGGTCCCTTCCAGTCCTACACTTCTCTGATTATCTTGCTGAAGTTAAGACTTCGGGGGGTGGGGAGGCAAGGTTTGCAAAGTAAACAGTATTTTGTATAGTTAAAATGTTAGTGTCTATAACCAAAGGTTATCCCTAAAGTGCCGTAAGCTTTCATTCTGAACCAGTGTTAAGATTTTTGTAATTTTTTGAAAGTTTCATTGGAAGGCTGATGTTTTCCAGGTTTGTTACCTGTCTACGTGTGAAATTTTTGGGGAAGTTGGTGCAGAAATAAAGGTATTTCCCTTATACAAAGAGAGAGCTGTGTCTTGTATCAGTACTTCTGGGTAAATAGATTTCAAAGCAAAAATCAATGTTATAATTTTAAATCTACCAAATAAAAAGTAGAAAAGAAAAAGGAAATCTTGGCAAAAGTTTTCTAATGTTTATTCCAAATTTATTGAACTTGCCTAGGTACAAACAAGCTCTCTGAAAATGAAAAACCTCATTTAAGATAGGGAATTAATATTGCAAAGCATTTGCTATTGGATGTACTGTATTGCATTGATTATAGATATTATGGTTTGAGATTACGTATAACAGTTTAGTTTGATATGACAGACTTTCGAAGTATCTGAAAACTTTATAGTGGGATCTTCTGTTATTTCAGTTAATAGATTTTATGTTTCCATACAAATCCCTTTGACATTTTCCTGTATCAGCTGCAACAGTAGTGGCAACAACGAATACGCTCTGGTAGCTTACATGACCTTCATGATTCTAGTATCTGAGTGCCACACAGACATGACTGTACTTATCCTCTCAACATCCCTGTGAGACAGGAAAGCATAACCCCATTTTACAGATAAGGCACTGAGGAATAGAGAAATTAAGTGACTTGGCCAAGGTTACACAGGATCTGAAGTGTGTGGCAGATTGAACCCAAAGATCCAGCATCCCAGTCCAGTGCCTTAACAACAAGACCATTGTTTATCGCTGTGCTTTTGCCTAAACAACTAAAAGTGTATGTTCTGTTTCACACAGAACTTGGAAGAAAACCAACAATGGCTGCTTGTTTTTGTATTTTTGGCACCTGCTGGTTAGTCTGCCTTCAAAGACTTGAAATTGTAAAACTTTAGATGAAGTCTGATTCTGGTGAGAGAGAATGTGTCTAAGTTGGAACTCTACTTTGATCTTTTTATTTTAGCTTCATTTTATGTTTACCTCTTGCAATATACTTCTGATTTTTATTCTTGTGGCTTTCAACTTTTGTCTCACTTGAAGCCTCTCCCTTGATAATTTTCCTTCTCAGTTCAACTCCTTCCACAAAATTAGTATGAAGATGCTACTTAAAGTTACTATGTGCAGAGGTCGGAAAGGGCCAGACGAGCATAGGGACATTTAACATCTCCTGCTTCTAAGATAACCATCTCCCAGGTCTGTAACTCTATCTAGAATTTCTTCAATACACTATTTTTAGAAAGGCCTCATCTTGAGACCTGCTGCTACTCTTAGTTTGTAACATCAGGTTTTTACCCTCTTGCCAGGAGGAGGAGGAGATCAAAAATATTTCCAGTGTAGGCAATCTTGAAAAATTACCAACACAGTGGAGAGTTTGATGGTATCGACTGTTGCCTGAAAAGTAACAAAATGGAAGAGATGGCAGCAGCATTCCAAGGAATGTCCAATATAGAAATATTTTTGACAATCTGTATCTGCTGGAAGGAGGGTAGAAAACCCAGTATTATAGAATGCTTCAAGCCATTTTCCAACTGAAGCCACAAGGAAGCTCTTGTGAGGATAAAACAATCTAGCTCATCTCCATTTTCTGCCTCCCAGAATCTGCTTGAGTTGCATTGGGATCACATGCACACATGATACTTTCATATGAAGCAGACACACTTCTGGGAATACAGCACTTTTTTTGTATAGACGAAACAGGTGTATTGATACTTTTTACATGCTTCTGGTGTAGTGACCAAATTAACCCCATTCTTATGTCCATGGTATCATTATTCAAAATTAACCTACTTAGAAAGGTTACAGTCTTTCATAGGTTAGTTTATCCCTATGAAATTTCCTCCTCCTTCCACTCATTTAGCATTGACCTTAGTCTGCCTGTCTTCCACAAAATCTTGATATTGCTGGTGGAAGAACCTTCTCTTATAGAGTTCCTGCTGTTTTGAACTGACTTTCTATATATATCAGTCTTAGTGACTGTTTCTTTTCAAATCTAAGGTAAAAGTATACATTTTCTCTCTCATCCCTTTTTAATTTCTCCCTCCTTCTGTTATTAAATTACATGAAGGATCCAGGGATACAGGTTCTATTAAATACCTCATGCAAAATACATTTGTACCATAGTCAATATACTGAATGTTACACTACTCCAGATTATTCCAGGTTTAAATCTCACTTTCAACTTGGAGAAAATCAAAAAATTTGATTTAATTTTGAACTGCTTCTTCAGTTTTGTGCCAAATGTTATAAAGTCATATGTCTTCCCCACAGTGATGGGAAGAATTTAGGACATCGTTACAAAACCATTGATTTTAATATAGTCTCTTGTTGCATGAATTTATTGTGCCTGACTAATACTTATGACATTTGCATTCATTATGATGCCATAAACAATATGCAGAGGTAATATAACCATGAAATGTAATTTATTTGTGCTTGATTAAGTTAAAATGAAACATGGGTTTTATCTTGTGTATATATCTATCTGTAATCTTCTCTTTTTTTGGCTCTTACAAGTTCATAATGTTTCTTTATGACTATCACGGCATTTTACTTGGAAGTTTTAAATGAAAAATGCCAAACTCCAGATTAGAAATCATTAGCTTTTTTTTATCCCTAGAGCAGTGTTAAAAGCTCAAATATTTTATTTTCCTCTCTAAATTGTTAGAAAATGTTTACCATAAGGGTTTCAATCATATTGTGAATGAAGCAATATTAGCATCCATTTTAAAAATAAACTGGTTGCATGGTTTCAACTGTAGCATGGATAAGGGCACAACATGCAAAGAGACACAAATGTTTTACATCTGTAGTTGCCAGGAGTTAAGTTCCAGACATCACAATGAACTCTTCGTGGAACCGTCCAGTTATTTTCCTTGTATTTGGACCTTACACTAGATCCTTAAAAGAATTTTACAGAAAACTACAAAATACATAACTTTATAAATGCCTGTCTCTCTTCTCCACAGTCATAATGAACGGAAAGTGACCTGCAAGCATCCAGTAACAGGACAGCCATCACAGGATAACTGTATTTTTGTTGTGAATGAACAGTAAGTGAAATGTGCTTTGCACAATATAAAATGCATGCATTCTTAATTCATAAATTTCACAATGAGCTCCAATCAGTATAGAAATTGATTTCTTTTATAATCTAATTCTTCTGTACTCTGCTAATCCAAGACCAACGAAGCACAGTAAAACAATTAAAAAGAAAAAAAAACTAGCCCAAATAGGGTTTTCTATGTTTTAATGAGGTGTTGGGACCATTATTTCACTGTTCACTTCAATTTGCATGCAGAGTAAACTAAAAGATTTTTAGCATGATAGTCCAGTAGGCTACCATAAGGTACATTTTTGATGATCCATTTGAATTGCTCTGGAATATGTTGGCATTCCATATCTCCTGTAGCGGCTAGGACTCCTTTTCCATTTAATATTGTTATTCCATTGCCCTGTCAAGAAGTTTTCTGAGCAGGTGGATGATAGATTTGTTGACTACTATTTCATTACTCTTGCAGAATAAATCATGAATGACATGATTTCCTTAGACCTTCCTGAAGGTTTAGGGGAATCAAGAATTTATGTGCAGTAGTAATTCCCGATCTCTGGTTGTGAAGTGGCTGAGTCTTGTGTATCTAATCAAATTACCAGACTGAACTTTAGTAATACTTAAGTCTCATATTTTCACTAACATGAGATTGGTGTACAGCATTCTCTTACTAACTGTGCTGTGTGGTAAACCATGAATTTGAATTAGTTTAAAGCAACTTTTAGAATTTCCTATAGTAGAACTAAGTTCGTCTTTGCTATACAATTTAATGACCTTTTTAATACTTGGTGCAGATAATTTTCTCTTGAAATCTGAATTGCTTGCTTCAAAATTGGAAAAGTAGGACACAGCCACTATTAGAGAACATCTTAGGGACACGTTTTAATATCAGTCTGCACACACAGCAGGTTCTGGTGTTATTGAATATTCTGATTTTCAGGACTGCTGCAACCATGACATCTGAAGAAAAGAAAGAACGAACAGTAAGCACAATAAGTGACGCTTCCAACTACAATTTGACATCAGATTATGCTGTGCATCCAGTGAGCCCTGTGGGCAGAGTAAGTCACGGTATCTGTTTGTTTATTAATGTAAAATTATTCAATTATTCCATAAGATAGCGAACAGTCCTATAATTAAAGAGAAACTTTGTAATTAATATTCCATTTTAAAAAAGAAACAAAGCATATGTATATCTCAGGGCACTTGATAACCTGAATGTTTTTATTTGGAAGCTGAGGTGTCTGAAATAACTTATCACTAAAGCTGTAATTTTTGTCACAGGCTTCTTGGCTCTTATGACTTTCACCTTCTGATATTGTCTTTGGTATTAGACATCTTTCTTGTTTTGTATATGAGCAGCTGTGTGTTTGAGTGGGCATATAGGTAAGTGTGCATGTGGACAATTGCACTATGTTTTGAAAGATTTGACCAAACATCCTCATGGCAGGAGCAGGGGCGGCTCCAGGCACCAGCGCAGCAAGTGCGTGCCTGGGGTGGCAAGCCGCGGGGGGGGGGGCGGCCTGCTGGTCGCTGTGGGGGCGGCAGTCAGGGAGCCTTCGGCCGCATGCTTGCGGGAGGTCCGCCGGTGCCGTGGCTTCGGCGGCAATTCAGCAGCAGGTACACCGAAGCCGCGGGACAGGCGGACCTCCCACAGGCATGCCGCTGAATCCGTGTTACCAGCGGACCTCCCGCAGGCGTGCCGCCGAAAGCTGCCTGACTGCTATGCTTGGGGCAGCAAAATACATAGAGCCGGCCCTGGGCAGGAGTATGGAATTATAGCAATTAGTAAGGGATTGGTTGCAGCCCTTGAAAGCAGTTATGGGAACAGACCAACAGACCATATGGCAAAGGTTACATTTTAACTAGCAACTGCCAGTACTAGAATTTCAGTGCAACTAGGTAGGAAAATTGCTCAGTAGCCCATGAAATCATAAGCAGTCTTCCTTGTTTTGTAGTCTGGTCTTGTGGTTAAAGCACAGGACTGGAAGTGAAGAAGCTTGAATTCTATTCCCGGCCTTGCCTTATTTGTGGGATCTTGGATAAATCAACTTAACTACGTTGTGCCTCAGTTTCCCTATCGGTAACTGGGAGATACTTCCCTGCCTCTCAGAGATGTTATGAAGCAAAAAGCTTTAGAGATCCTTGGATAAAAGGCAGTATAGAACTACAAGTTTCATTTTGTTTTCAATTAGAGGCCACTTTGTAGAAGGACAGTTCACTTACTACAAAACTGAAAATTTTCATTGGGTTTTGCCAGGATAGATTTATCATCTTCAGAGAAAAGTTAGCCAGATGACATCTTGGTTAGTGATGAGATAAGCAGTGCCATCTGTCTTCTAGTTAACAGTTAACATTTCTTCTTGAGTATTTTTACGTTCTCAGTTGCAAACAAAAAAACCTGTTGAATTAGGCACTGAAAGACTGTACCCAGCAAAGTGGTTCTCCTGCAAATGAATCCGATTTGTAACATGTACTTTGAAGTGTTAGTGTTAACTGAGCAATTTCTTTAATTTCAGCAGGTTTGGATTGAAACCCTGTTTATTTTCTCTGTGAAAAAATAAACATTTTACGATTTCCCATAAAATAAGTCATTTTGAGCATGTTGGAGACTGCTGTTAAAGCAGCTTTTGTTTTAAATGGACACAGTCAAATGGTCAGGCAAAAACTTGACCTACATTAAAACCATTATCTACTGAGAAAAAGACTTCCAGATTCTAGAAAATGCCTTAATCTAACAGTGTTGCTGAGAAAATAGTAGCAGTGTTGATTTATTAAAAAATGGTACTGTTAAGCATGACCTTACAATAGTTGCTAAGCCCCTGCAGGGACAGCCATCTAAAAAGCACAATAAAATCTTTTTCTCAGGACCATGCTGACGACATCAGTGATGCTGATGCAAAATTATTACAACAGAGCTATGTTAAAGTTCGTTATGTGGGGTGAAATGTGGATGAAGGGAAGGGGAAATATGTTCTCTTCCATTTGGGAGACAATCAGGAAATTAGTTTAGGGCTTTTGCAGACAAAATTAAAAAACTACTTACTGTATTTCGTTGACAATGTACTGGAAAGAAATGGAGATTGCCACTGGCTATTGAATTATAGGCATTTGTCTAAATTGTTAAGTTAGAGGCTTTGACTGTTTTGTTGAATGGGATTTATTGAGCTACTTTTTAGAGAAATCAGATTTTTGCTTTTATACTAAAAGCTGTGCCCATTATCCTTTTTTCAATTACTAAATTAACTACTTACGATGTTCATGTGAATGCTATTCAAGTTACTTTAAACACAGTTATCAAAAATAAACTTGTTTGCATTATTGTACCATTTTTGATAGTCCAGTCTCAGAAGACAAGTGTCTGCAACATAGAAACCATAGTTGACACTAATCAGCCTCTTTGGCAGTTTCAGAGGGCCCATGGGTTGAATGCATTTAAGACTGTTATTCCCTTGTGCTTAGAAGTGGCCCTTCAGTGATAGTATTGAGGAACTTTAGCCCAACCATGAGGAGATTTGTGCTGTTAGTTTTGATGTCTACCTCTATCTATGAATAGAGAACTTGAGGTGCCGGGGCTGCCTTACCAACACTAGTCTCTCACAGTCTGTCTTAAAAATAGTATTACAGTGCATGAGAAAGAGAAAATAGCTGGGAGAGTAGTTATTTAGGTTCTCCATAAACTAGGGAAAGAGAGAGAAAAAGCTACATTTGGTTACTTCTAAGACAAGCAAAAATACTGGTGGCAATTTATTAAAGTTGTTTGTAAACTCAACCGTTTTCAGGGATGACTAATGAAAATTGCTAATGGGTTTATCTAATTAGTTGGGGAGATCATGAATTTCATATTGGGAACAGCTCAGTTGAGATAAAGGACTGTTCCAAGGCTCTTGTTAGTACAATGCTGTTCCTTTTATTAATATAAAACCATCCAGAATTAACATAACAATATTTGTAGAAGATTCTGTTTGCAGTTTTGTTCAAAAAAGGCTGACTAGAGTCTAAAGCCACTGTTCAGCGGCTGATACAAAAAATGAGGTGAGCTGAGTGAGACCAACAGAAAGGGGCTTGATTTGACACTCAGGCCTCCTTCTCTTGCTCCCTTCCTCTCTCCACCCAAAAATAAAATAAAATGCTGACAAAGGAGAGAGTGCAGATTCATACCAGAGTGGTGTTTAAATGCTCCATCTTCCCAGTCAGCCTCAAGTATGTTCTAACTTCAAAGCCACCTGTCCAACTTCCTGATTTCTGGAAAGGAAAAGGTGCTCTTTTTACTTCCCATCCTAGACCAAAACCTACTGAAGATGGTGTGGATAGAGCCTGGCACTCTCCCTCCATAGCCTCCTGGCTGCTAAAAGGTGGAGTGGTGGGAGGGTTTTTCCATTATTCTACCCTTCCTCCAGCCCCTCTTTCTAAGTTGCTATCCTCCATTTATTCTGCAGATGGTATTAAAATCTTTATAAAGGCCTTTGTGAATGATATGATCGAACCCCTATAGCACATACAGGGAATATTGCTTAATAACATGGTATGTACTTGCACAGGGAAAATTGTACTGGTCTCATGGTGATCTCTGTGGCTCCAATGTGTACCTCTGCAGTTCTTCATAGCTTTCCCAAACATTAGCAGACATTGGGTTGGGAAAATGACATGGTCCTTGTTAGGTTCATTGTTGCCCACAAACTTCTGAATAATAGCAGTAGTGCCCAGTCTTCGCAATTTCCCTGCCAGTGCTTGGAAGACTGAAGCAGCACTGATGCTAGAGCTGCCTACAGAATTAAGAAGGCAACACTGCATTGGTTCATATTTGGAAAGTTATCTTATCAGTCATAAGGATTAGAAACTTATTTTTAAACAAAAAATTAAATTTGGCAGAAATTGATCGCTCAGATGCACCTCTTCACACCCCACACACATCACAAGGGAAAGCTTCCAATTTGTTACTGACATTTCCAAGCCTTGTTTTAAAATACTTAAGCAATAGTGTTGCTTCTGTGTTCTTTAGATAAACTAATCTACAAGGTGACCACATACTTTTATTGTAGTATTTAAGTAATACAGTAGCTTCACACAGTGTTTAAAGCATGCTGGGTCAAAAAGGGTTGCAGACCCAGGGAATATCTACAACTGGAGCTGGCTTGCTGAGGGGCACACATTTTAGTCCTACTTGTGGGGAGGGTGTGGGGGAGGAATCCCCTCTGATTGGCATCTTTCCCCCCCCACTAGCCTACCTTCTGGGGAAGAGCCAATCAGGGTTGCTGCATTAGGCAGGCAGAGCTCTCTCCCCAGGAGCAGACACTGACCATTCACACAGGAGAGGAGCAGGGAACAGAAATAGCCAAGGTGCTCAGGTCAGCTCTGCTCCCTCCTCCTCCGTCCTTTGAGCATCCAGATGGGTCCTGTGCTCCTCTCCCTTCTCTTTAACACCCATCCTGGGAATAGGGAGAGGGGGGACCCTGCTGAAGCCCCCCAGGTCTGGGGAAGGAGGATGAAGAACCCCAGAGAGATTTGGGAAGGGGGGCAAAACTGATGGGGGAATGAAGTGGACAGAATAATGGGTGATCCACCCCCACACACTTTTTTTCACTAAGCACTGGCTTGACTATAATATTTATACTATTCTAAGGTTTTAAAATACAGTCTTGAGATCTTTAGAACACGTTGTGTGTGAGTTGAGATTCTCATTATACAGTATAAGATAAAATAATTGACAAGTGTCTAGTGTTCTGTTTATTAACTAATATTAGAAAACTCAAGCAGTGCCCTGTTAACCTAAGTAGATATTTGCAGTTGGTAAAATGTATGAGCCTGTAAAGGTTCACTTCTGAGCTCCATGAGCTTTGTGTGAAAGTGTGCATGTACTTGGTTACCAAACCAAAGAGATGTGCATTTAAATTACCTGAATCTGCTAGAGGAGTTGAAATTATTATTTGTTTTTTGGCAGCACCACCTGGATGCATTAACCATTTTGCAAACAAAAAGGGATTTGTTGGCCTTGCGTTGGGGAGCTTACACCCTTTCATACCAAATGGTAGCGTGGGCATGAGTATTGCATCACTGGTTCTTAGAACATGCAAAGACCATTTTGTTTGTATATTGCATGGTAGAAAATGTTGAAGGATTTTGATGAGTATTAGTAGTGCTGTTTTTTTGTTTGGGGGGAAAAAATTCAACCAGAAACCAACAACTCTTTATTAAAAAAACCAAAACAAAAAAATGATTTAAAACAAGTGGACACATTTTGTTTCAGGTCAAACAAAACATTTTTTTTTCATTTCCAGTCATCCTTTTTTAAAAGGAAAGGAGATGAAGGGCTAGATTCACAAATGGTTGCTGGCGGTAATCGAGTTGCTTCCTCATTTTCAGCCTTTAGACCAGCGGTTAGGACATTTACTTATGATATGGGAGATGCAGGTTTAATTCCCCTATCTGCCTGATGTGGGGCAGGGATTTTAACTTGTTTCCCACATTGCAGGAGAATGCCCTATTCATTGGACTATAGGGTATTCTGGGCAAGTCTTCCTCTCTCCTGTTGAAACTGTTCATAAATAGTAATTGGAGCAGGGACTTGTCTCCAAGGCGAATGCCCTAGCCACCCGCGCCTCCCCTCCAAGTCTGTAGTGTCGTTCTCACTCTTGCTCGCCCGGCGATTAATCAAGTATTTTATACAGAATGGAATAGCTTCAAAAAGGAGGGATTGAGACTACCCTATTACCCACTGGTTGAGACACTTTCTGGCTGTCTTGTGAATGACAGCTAAGTCTCCTTGTGAAAAAAAATTTTTTTTTTTTTTGGACAAACTATTTGGCAAACTTGTATCAAATTTTCAAGTAGTTTAGGTCGATCAAAACTGCATTTTTAGTCAAAAATAACTTATTTTGGTGAAAAATTGCACCCAGCTTTAGTAGGACATAGGGAAATGTCTTTGAAAACAATTATGAAAATCTATGAAAAAAAACAAAAACAAACGTAAACATAATAGTTTGAATGTAATTTGTCACAACAGCTTCCAAGTTTTGGAATCTTAATGTATAGTTGTCAGACCTGATCTTTAATTTATTCTGTCTGAATAGTCCTGTCTTCCACATTCTTCCCTCTGCTTCTTATAAAGCAGCATTTGCTGACTTCTCCTGAACGTGGACTGAGTTTCCCAAACCAAAATGTTGAGCTTTAGAACAGTTTTGACTTTTGTTTTGAATTGTGTGTGTATTTTAAATTGCTTAAGCTTTTTTCCCTAAACCAAATTTTGTTCAGCTGCCTTACTTCCAAATAAACATAAAACAGCCTCTTCACCCTTGCTTTTCATCTTGTGAGCTTAAGTCAACCCCTTAATAAAGACTTTGGATTGTAAACCTCTTTTTATTTTAAGACCTTATGCTGCCGTTCACAGAAAATATTGTTCACAAAAGCTGCATATTATTATTAAGGTAAAATATATTATGCAGTGTTACATGTGCTACTATATTATGAAAAGTCCCTTTGAAATCTAATCTAAATGTCCTGTTCATTTCAACAAGGCTGTTCAATAAAAGTACACTCTGACACTACAAAATTTTTAATAATCTATGGTTTGCAAACTTAGTAGAGAAATATATTATTAGCATGCTTCCAAGAGAATACAAACAAATCAGAATTTCCGAAAAATATGATAGTCTTCCTTTTGAATTTTGTATTAAAAATTAAAAATCTTTGTCTTTTTTCTTCCTCATCTCCTGTGTTGCCAGTGCTAGGGTCTTAATATTGTCTGCTACATATATGGAAAATACTCCGTTACACGCAGAGTCGAAATTCAACATGGGCACACAAAAATGTTTGTTCATCTGAAAATCAATTCCCACTGAAATCTTGTTTATCTGTTATTGTATTGGTTCCTAATCTGAGATACACCTCTATGCTCTGTTGTTGTTTTATAACATCTAAATGGTGACCATGCTCCCACTGCTTAATTTATGCAATCAAAGAGCTATCCTATGCATGGGTTACTAAGATAGCCAGTTGTTTATCTGAGAGCAAAGCCATAATTGTCCATGTTCAGCATTTGTGTTGGCTGTATCACGTCTTTGTACACTTTTCAAATTTGTCATTCCCTCATAACTTGTGGAATTATTTCTCTAAATTAGAGGCTTTGTAGACCACAGCTCAGTGTCTAAATCCAAATTTAGAAAGCACCTCCACAAAGCAACCCCATATCCAGGCAATAATTTTTGTAACACAAGTTTGTAGATACGAGAAGCAATAATAGTATTTTTCACATTTATAAGGACTTTTCATCTGAGTATCTTAACAAACATCAGTTAAGGCCTTAAAAGTCCCCTTTGAGGTACCAAAGGGTAGCCGTGTTTCAGCAAAAACAACGAGGAGTTTTGTGGCACCTTAAAGACTAACACATTTATTAGAGCATAAGCTTTCGTGGGCTATGACCCACTTCAGATGTATGGAGTGAAAATTACAGTAGGCAGGCGTAAATATACAGCACAGGAAAAGATGGGAGTTATCTTACCAAGTGTGGGGTCAATGATTCAATCAGGGTGGATGTGTCCCATTCCCAACAGATGACAAGAAGGTGTGAATGTCAACAGAGTAAAAATTACTTTTTGTAGTGCAAATGATGCCAATTCCATCAGGGTGGATATCTCATCGGTGTTGGATTAAACTGAGGTGCAGAAGTTACATGACTTGTCCAAAGTCAAGCAGTAAGTCTGTAGCAGAGCCAGGAACAGAACCTAGGATTCTTGTTTCCTAGTCCCCTGCTCTTGATGAAAGGGAAACTATCCTTGTCAATGCACCAGCCTCTAAGCCATTCATTTCTATGGAATTTAAGCTTTTAATATTAAAAAATAGGTTTCCATCCTTTGTTTGCAACAGTAACTTTCCAAATAAAAACTAAATGTAAACCAATGCAGAGCAGTATTCAAGACATGGTGAATCCCTCCAGGGTCTCTGCTGCTGCTTATTGCTTTATGAGGCAGAAGAAGAGTGGAAAAAAATAGGACTCTTGTTAGTTTCACAGCCGTTCTCCTAAACTGTCAAGAATCCCTTTAATTTCATTCTGTAGCAGCTTGGAAAAAAGCTATAAGCAGCATGAGAAATGGATGCTGGAGTTACAGGGGAAGGAGAACCAAAACAGCTGTTGGAGCAAGTAGAGTAGTGAAGATATTCTCCCTTTTGTAGCAGTCAAGAGAAAGTGAATGGGAAGATTGTGAGGGGAGAACAGACAGAATAAAAGCTATTTCACCAGAGGAAGATATGAAAGGCTCAATCAGAAGCCAGAGATTGCACCCTTGTAGCAATCTGACCTCTTTCCCAGTTATTGGGGTTGTGCTGGGAACAGAAGAAAGCTGGGCTTTTCTCACCAAGATGTTGCTCTGGAGCACCTTTTTCATTATTACTGCCATCTATCATAGTTTTAGTTCTCTTACTAGTTCTTGTATTGTCTTGTAAGTGTTCTTCAAGCCCTGTCTTAGAATAAAGTCAGCTATATTTTTGTTTTTAAAAAATTATATTAAATCTGTATTTAAAATGTTTTGATCCTGTAATGCTCTGGGATTTCTCTTTTTCACTGCAGAAAATTTAGAGAAATTCTGGAGCCAGCAGAAACAGCATGGCAATTACCGTACTTATTTGTCTAAAAAGGAACAAAGCAATATCTTGCAATTCTCAAGGGGAAACGTGGGTAGAGAACAAAAATCTGAGGAAAGAAATGTATGACAATTTCCTAGAGTTAACAGACACTGATGGTGCATTTTCTAACATGTTCATTCCATTTAGACGTCACGGTCTTCAAAGAAGGTTCATAATTTTGGAAAGAGATCAAACTCAATAAAGAGGAATCCTAATGCACCGGTCATCAGACGGGGGTGGCTTTATAAGCAGGTATTCATATTTTTCCTTGTTTATTATTGTATGCAGGACAATAGTTTATGTGAAACCTAATGCTAGAAACATTGGAGTGAAGATGACAATCTCTTCTGGTGCATGTGTGTTGCCTTTCATTAACTCATATCATCTACTGAGTAAAATACACAATGAAAAATAAATAAAGGCAGCCAGGAAGTACAGAATAGTGGTTTACTTGTTGTATTCCTTTGAGAAGCATAAGAGAAGAAAGGTACAATGTTATAAATTCAGGGACCTGTTATATCTGAAGGATTTGGGTGATGGGTGTCTGGAAAATACATATTGGGGATGGAAGACTAAGTTAATAAATCATAACTGGTGGGAAAATGGGACAAGAATGAGTGGCCAAATGTTTTGCTATTTATTATTCTGGGATGGCTACTGGGGGATATTTTTTGCCTTGAACATTGGTTATATGTTCACATACTGGGAGTGTGTTTGTTTGAAATGTGATTTTTTTTTTTAAGTCACTTATGTACATTAAGGGAAAGATTTTTAAAAGTATAAATAGCAATTAGGCACCCAACTCCCATTGAAAGTCAATGGCTTACCTTCTTTTTTTACTTTTGAAAATCTCTCTCTAACTGGTTGTACTTTCTTGCAATCAACAGTTCAGGACTATTAGATCTTAGGGCAAGAACACTTCTTTTTCTAGCATGTTGTGGGTGCTACTGGAAAACAAACTGGTGTTTTTAGGTGAAAATAGAGGCAGGAGGAGGGGGCATGTATGTATGTATTGGACCCACAATTGCCAGGCATAGTCCAGTTAACTATAATGCAAACAGATGACCTAAAATAGTTTTTTCTCAACCTTTTTTTAGGTAGATAATTAAAAACATTGATCATTTAACTACATTAAGCACTGGCTGATATTCACTTGGGGGTGGCAGTGGGTTTCCTCCCCCATATTTAGATTCTTCTCCTGGCCCATGGTTTTATCCAGCCATTGCCAGCTAAAAGACCATAAGGTTGGGTTATGTGGGCTTCCTCTTTGGTTACTTTATGGCTTGAAAAGAAGCTGCTTTTGAATTTCTGTTGTAATTTCACTTCTTAATTTATGTCCAGTTAACATATTAGTTTGAATAAAAAAATATTGGACTGAAAAAAAACATTGTGGTGGAATGAATAGCGTAACTCCTATACAAAATGTTCAAACCAACGGATAAATTCTATACTAAGAAATAAAAATTATTTGTAAGAAAATACTTCTTATTTGCACCATGAACCGAATTGTTTAATGAATTCTAATAAATGAGATGGTTAGTTATCCTAATTTAAATCCATAAATACAACAATTTTGTACAGGTAGCAGCAGCATAATTTGGCCAGCAGAATTCTTACGGTTAGTGGTGGGCAAGAAGGAAAAAAAGCCATTTGGATTTTCAAATTCCAGTTTGAATTAGGAAGGATGGCAGAGAAAAACATCTTTTTTCTGCTGCACTTTAACCCACTAACATAAATGATGTATTTCTCTAACTAGTGTAAGGGGGGGGCAGTAGAGCTCAAGCCCTTCTTCCTGCACCTCAGCTTAGCTCCAGGCAAGACGACAGTTCTGTCTTTTCATGACTTCTCAAAAATCAATACACAGAGTTAAACCTTGGGGCTATTGTATGTAAAACCCTGACAAGTGAATGTTAATAGTTCCCAGTCAATTTTGAAGAGTACACCATATGTTTTGTTAGTAAAACATTTAATGGACACAACACACTGTAAATAGTATAAAATATTATAAATACTATGAATAACTTCTAAACAAATGTTATTAGACAATAAATCTGTTGGTGTTCCTTATATAGTTTTCCCCTTTTGTTTGTTACAAACATTTAAATATAACATTTTCTAACTTCATTGCACACATCAAAACATATTCCCCTCTGATTTTCTCTCAAAGATGATTTCTCATCTTTATAGTGTAACCATAGTATGTAGTGCGTGTCGCCTGTAAGATGCAAATTTTTTAACAGTGAGTAATTAACCATTGGAATAATTTACCCATGGGGGATTCTGATAAATTTTAAATCAAGAATGGATTTTTTTTTTCTAAAAGATGTTCTCTAGGAATTATTTTAGGGAAGTTCTATGGCCTTTGTTACACAGGATATCGGATGAGATGATCACAATGGTCCTTTTTGGCCTTGAAATCTGAATCTTCAGAGCTTGAGAAATGTCAGCATCTCAGTCCTGTCAAACACTTCAGAACCCAGTACGCAAACAAACAGTCTGGGGATCTCCACAGCTAGCATCATTCCAGCTGTTGTGTTAATAGCTGACTGGTCCTCTCAGTTGCTGGTGAAACAGAAGTCTGTATCCAAAGTGTTACAGGGATTGGGATCACATATAAAATATCCACTTCCTTGATCGCTCTAGAGCACAGTCTTCTCCCTATAAGCCCAGCTAAATCAGGCAAGAATTCACAAACCGTCACCTCACTAAGTAGTGCCTCATTCTCTTTCTGAAACAGAATCCCAGTCTAAAGCAGTTAGCTGATAGCTAAGTATATGTTCTACAGGCTCTGTAGCTGCTAGAGGTGACACATACTTCTCCCACCTGTCCCTCTAGGTCCATAAAACATATTGTGGTGGACCAAACATTATCCTAATGGAGGGCTTCCTTAGCCAGTAAAGCTGAAGTTGCTCTCACTTGTATCCAAAGATAGAGGTATTGGGACCTAGCCCTCACAGCAGACACAATTCTTGGTTCTGCATCGATCAGCTGTTGAGTCCACAGGGTTGTTCTTAACTCCTTTATTAAAATCCCTACTCTCTTTTGCTCTCTGTTTTGGCACAGCTCTCAGAACGTGACTAGGGTGTAACCTGTCAGATGGGTTGTCCACAATGAAAACTTTATATACAGCCCAGACCATCTACTGAACATGTCTGGTAACTACCACCTTATTCTGGAAGTTTCTGGGTCTTTAACTGAGTTGCCCTGCCCTGCTGTCTGCACATGTGCTGAGAGAGAGTATCCAGCTAAGATCCATGTCTCCTCCCCACTGTTTCTCTCCCACTTATGTGGAGTAACAAAGTTATATACTGCAGTATAAAGCATATAGGTTACGTTAGCACGATGCAAAGCTTGTGGATCTTGTTTAGTACCATCATTTTACAAGCAATATTTAAAATTGTCCTTTTTTTAGATCTACATATAATATCCCTTTGTATAACAAGTTGATTGCTTTTCATTCATCAGACAACTTTGTCCTATTCTTGATAATGGACAGTTTTGTGCTGTGATACAGAAGGACTTCTCATGAGTGTGTGGACCTGAGGCAAAAAACGCTTGATCAATAACATTTCTATCATTAGATTGTTTTACACAAACATTTTTGATCATTGTCTGAAGATTTAGACAATTTTAAATTCAAGACACTGAATGTATCTTAATACTAATAAAGTCATTTTAGAGGTCTGAATGTCTTTGCCAGTGTCTGTTGCTGTGATTGTTTGCTCTTGGCTGTCAAGATAGTTAAGTTTTTTAAGAAGCATTCTTTTAGAATCAGCTCCTCCCTAAGAAAAATGAGTGCTAAGCAGCGCTGCTTAAGATAGCTTGTAATCAGAATCATCAGTATTGTGATGACTTTTTTGGATGGCAGATGTCTTCCTTTGATGTTCTGTAACTTCACATTTTGGGCTATGTGCTGCTAAATTGCAAATGTTTCCTTCAGAGGTGTCACTGTCATCAAAGGTCTTCACATTTGGGCCACAAGTCGTCGTGGGTTCGCACTCCAGGAAGAGGACACCTAATAATTTGAGAGACACAAATGCAAACAGTGATTATTAAAAAATGTTATGTAAGGAGCAAATCTATATCAGCAGGATGATAAACTAGATGACCTAATAGGTATTTTCTAACTCTAGTTTCTGTTAATCTATCAAGATACTGGAAGCTCTGTTTGAAAAGGAGGGATGTATATAGGGATGCAAACATACATATTGTGTGCAAAGGTAGGATTTGATTTTCATAAAGAAAACCTTGAGGCCTTCTGTGCACATTGGCGTGCCTATAATTTGTGACAAAGTCAGGCCGGACGGCTGCAAGAGGGTCCTGGAAGGCCAATATATTAGCCCTAGAATGTTGAAGGCCCTTTTTCCTACAAGCTGAGAAGGGATTACCTCAGATCAATTAGGGACACCTGAATCCAATTAAGGGCTGCCTGAAGCCTTTAAAAAACACTCCTTTGGGGAGAGCAAAAGAGGAGCGAGAGACAAGCTGCTGCCAGGCTAGTGGCAGCAGGAAAATAGGCTGTTCCAGGGTGAGAGGCTGTGCTCCTTCCCATAAGGCAGTGTTTCCCAAACTTGGGAAGATGCTTGCTTAGGGAAAGCCCCTGGTGGGCCAGGCCGGTTTGTTTACCTGCCGCGTTCGTAGGTCTGGCCGATCGCGGCTCCCACTGGCCGCGGTTCGCCACTCGAGGCCGATGGGAGCTGCTGGAAGCGGTGGCCAGTATGTCCCTCGGCCCGTGCCGCTTCCAGCAGCTCCCGTCGGCCTGTAGCGGCGAACCGCGGCCAGTGAGAGCCGTGATCGGCCGGACCTGTGGACACGGCAGGTAAACAAACCAGCCCGGCCCGCCAGGGGCTTTCCCTACACAAGTGGCGTCCCAAGTTTGGGAAACAGCCAAACCTGAGTGCCTGCTAGGGGAAGGACTGACACCCCAGGGCAACCAACTGGATGACACCTTGCCCAAGCGAGGGGGGCAGCGAAAGGTATCTCCCTGGGTTTTTGTTTGAGAATGTTTCCTTTTGTTTGGTGGAGGATCACCCCTTAGGCTGACCCTCAGGCCTACCCTGAAAATATGACCAAGGGAGCACAGAAGGGGGAAGGCAGTGGGTCCGCGCCTCCTTATATGTCCTGGCCTGAGAGCACAAGGCACTGCTCTCACAGGTGCGGCCCTACGGACGCTGCTTTTTGCAACCTCCAGTTGAGAGGGCACACGTGAGCGCACATCGTTATATACTCAAAAGGAGTGAGTATTATGGAGAGGAATATGAGGGAAGTAAATTCAATTTCTGAAATGAGAGATTACCACATAGACTACATCTGGATGCACTATTCTTTGAATCACCTTGTTATGTATTTACCACTCCTGGTAGTGAAATTCATCAAACACATAATGCATGATTTTCCTTCCCTCACATTCCTCTCCATAATATTCACGCCTTTGAGTATATTTCCACCATAGGATGTGCGCTCACTTGTGCCCTCTCAACTGGAGGTTGCAAAAAGCAGCGTCCATAGGGCCGCACCTGTGAGAGCAGTGCCTCGTGCTCTCAGGCCAGGACATATAAAGAGGCGCGGGCCCACTGCCACTCCAGTTCCTTCTCAGTTCCTGTGGCTTGAGACAGAACAATTGCGGTATCTGCTGCTTTCATCTACTTCCTGCCTTCTCTTTCTTTCCTTGTTGTTTTTGTTTATGCAGTTAGTTTTCATTTTGCCTAGTTATTTTCTTCTTTGTGGTAGCACAACTTGTGCTCAGAGGGTTCCTGAGCCCCCCACCCCCAACTTCTTGCCGTCCCTATTGTGGTATATGGCACTTCTCGGTTTTATGCCTAAGACCCTTGGGTTCAAGCCCGGCCAGACCTGCCCCAGGTCTTTCTTCCACAGTTACAGGCAGGCTATTTTGAGTGTCTCAGAAAAACTCATGTCCCGTTGTGATGTACAGTACACATGAGTTTAAAGGCAGGTCCTGCAAAGAGAGAGGCTAGATCAGGGGTTCTCAACCTGTGGCCCACATGCGACCCAATTAGCACACAGCTGCAGCCTAGTTGTGTGCTAAAAAAAATTCAAAATTTGCTGCTCTGGTCTGCAAGGGGGCAGGGCTGGCTGAGGGGGAGACAGCATCTGGCAGCCTGCTGGAGCGCTCCTGGCAGCATGGGGCTGGTGAGTGCCACAGGGTACAGGAGAGTGGGTCTCTGGGTGGGTTTTTTTTTTTTTTTTTTAATGGAGATATCCTATCTCCTAGAACTGGAAGGGACCTTGAAAGGTCATCGAGTCCAACCCCCTGCCTTCACTAGCAGGACCAAGTACTGATTTTGCCCCAGATCCCTAAGTGGCCCCCTCAAGGATTGAACTCTCAACCCTGGGTTTAGCAGGCCAATGCTCAAACCACTGAGCTATCCTTGCCCCCCCCCCGCCCCCACTGGGCTGTGGAGGCCCTCTGGGCAGTGAGGGGTGTCGGGGTTCTGGGAGCTAGGGGTGTATGGGTGCTGCAGCACCCCCAGGTTTTAGGCTGCATGGTCCCACATGGCAGGGTCCGGCCCCGTGCCCAGGGTGCCGCTCGTGGCCCCATTCTGTGGAGGGGTCTCTGGGCATAGGGGACGCTGGGCATAGGGGACTGTGGAGGGGTTGGTGGTGGAGGTGCTATGGTTCTCAACCTAAAGCCCTTGTAACACGTTGTGGGCCACAATGATAAATAGGTTACACCTTTCCATATTTGTACAACTGGCTCCTCAGAGGCCACTCCTCCCAAGAGGCTCAATTAGCAACCATCTATAACCCTATATCAGTCTCTGGGCCTCTGTGTCAATATAAAAAAAGTCTAATACCATTCCAGCAATAGACTTAATCGGGTCTACGCCAAACTCCCTAACCGCTTGGGCTTACCTTCCCAATGACAGATTCTTCACTATGTCCAGACTGACCTTTACAGCATAGTCCCCAATAACTGCAAGAATCTGCCTGCAACTGCTGGGCTACATTTTGGTCTCCTTGTTCATTACACGGCATGCAAGATTGCACTTCAGGTGTCTTCAGGCATGGCTAAGGATTACGTACACCCTAAACAGACAGTCTTTCCAAACAAATCACCATGCCTATGTAAGTAGTAGACTCTTTCGGGTGGTGGAAAGTCCCACTAAAGATCTTTATGGGAACTCCATTTTCACATCCACCACTTCAGAAACAGCTCATTATGGACACTTCTTTCCTGATTTGGGGGGGAGCGCAACTGAGGTGCCACAGCACAAGACAGATGGTCCTCACAAGAGACATTGCTTCACATTAACATCCTGGAACTAAGGGCAGTCTGTGTGTTAGCACTTCCTCTGTGATACCGAGGGGCACACTCTAAGGGTAATGTGAGACAACAGGGTAGTTTGTAGCTGTATAGTACACAAACTGACAAGTGGGAACAAGATCCCAGTCCTTAAGCACAGAATTGCTAAGGCTGTGGGACTGATACTTTTTACATCACACCGAAATCTCCATGATTTACCAGCCAGGTCTTCAGAACAGGGATGGCCATCGGGACCACGCATGGGAAGCTCAGTGGCTCCCTTTTCCATAGCATCTGCCAGATCTGAGGCCTCGTCAAGGTAGACTTCTTCACAGCTTCAAGCAATGTAAAATGACATCTCTTCTGCTCCAGAAGAGCATATGGCCACAATTCCTTGGAAGATTCCTCACTAGAATCTTGGCCCCACTTCCTGCTCTATGCTTACTTGCCTGTTCCTCTAATCATCAAGACTTTGCTTCAGACTGAGGGTGAGGGCTATCATGATAGCACCATTGTGGCTGAGGCAAGTGTGGTACTTTGTTTTCTGGCAGTGCCTCTCCGCCTTACCCTCAGGAAAGATCTCCTGTCATAAAGCTCAGGTGCCCTGACCTATCGCAACCTCTAGTCTCTGGACCTGACAACTTGGCTCCTAGATGGTTCTCGGGCACAGAGTTCACAGCTCAGCCAATGTTCAGTCAGTCCTTCTGTCTATCAAGAAACCTGCTACACGTAAGACTTACTGCCAAAATGGAAATGCTTCCATTCCTGGTGTTTTCACCACTCTGCAATCCTCTCCACTCTAGGGATCAGAAGCTCCACTCTAGGGATTCTAGATGACCTATTGGATTTAGACATGAGGTCTTTCAGTGAGCTGAGTTAGAGTACTCCTGGCCACTGTTATGGCCTTCCACTTACCTATAGAAGGGGTTTCACTCTTTGCCTATCGAACCACCACCAGATTCCCTAAGGATTTATACAAGTTATTCCCTCTTGTCCGAAACCACGCTTCTCCATGGAACCTTAATCTGGTCCTCAGTGTCTTGAGCAGCTCCCCATTTGAGCCGAAGGCTACCTGGTCCTTCTCACATCTCCCTTGAGGCTTCATTTCTGATATCCTTCTGGCTGAGGTGATGGCTGGGAGAACTTGGGGCACTCATGTCAGAACCATAATAAGCTACTTCCTACTATGACAGGGTCATGCTATGCCTCCATCTTCAATTCATCCATAAAGTATCATTGGAATCTCACATCAACCAAGAGATCCATTTATTATATCCTAAGTTCCATACTCCGAGGGAGGAAATTAGTCTCCACATATTAGATGTCAGAAGTGCCTTGGCTTTCTACCTTGGCAGAACTAAGACTTCAGGGCTTCTCCCAGACTCTGTATCCTTTGCCAAAAGGATGAAGGGACAGCTAGTTTCCACTCAACTATTGAAGTGGTTTTGGGTTGTATCTTGACCTTCTGTGAAACTGCTGGGGTACATCCCCCTCACAGAGTGACAGCTGACTCCACTAGGGCCCAGTGATGAGAGACTGATTGGGAATCTGCTACAGTGAAGCATCTATAGAGATATATATTTGAAGAACCAGTCACTTACCTGTACAGTAACTTGAGTTCTTTGAGATCTTTTGTCCCCTATGGATGCCCCACCTCCT